TCAGAAAATTTGCGTGCCAATCAAGCTTTGTGTCATTAGGTGCTCAAGTTCAGAACAGCTGTCAATCAAAACCCGTACAGAGCTGTGAAGCACAGAGCCTGAACTCTGACCTCATGTATAACATGTAGTGCTGAGCGAATTAACCGAAATGAACAGCGGTCAGTCAAAACCCATACAGAGCCTGAACTCTGACCTCATGTACAGCGTGTTAGATTCGAGTTTAATGGTTACATGTACAGGGTTGCAGATATAAAGCTATTCATCATGATAATGTCCATTGGGGTGGGGGCAGGTTGATGGAGTGGGGAGGGCAGGTAGCTGACTAGGGGTGGCTATTCAGCAGCCTGATGGTCCGGGGGTAGAAGCTAGTGGCCAGTCTGTTAGTTTTAGCCGTGATGCTCCTGCCCTGCCCGCGTCGGAGTGACGGAAGCGGGGAGAACAGGCCGTGGCTCGGGTGGCTGAGGTCCCTGGTCATCTTCTTGGCCTTCCTGTGACACCTGGTGTTGTAGGTGTCCTGGAGGGCAGGCAGTGTGCCCCCAATGGTGTCCTGGAGGGCAGGCAGTGTGCCCCCAATGGTGTCCTGGAGGGCAGGCAGTGTGCCCCCAATGGTGTCCTGGAGGGCAGGCAGTGTGGCCCCAATGGTGTCCTGGAGGGCAGGCAGTGTGCCCCCAATGGTGTCCTGGAGGGCAGGCAGTGTGCCCCCAATGGTGTCCTGGAGGGCAGGCAGTGTGCCCCCAATGGTGTCCTGGAGGAGTTGCAATACCAGGCAGCGCGACAGTATCTGCTACCACAATCAACTAAGAGCTCCTCAGCATGGGGTTTACTGTTGGCTAGCGGATCTCCCATATCACACACACACACACACACAACGTAACCGAAAGGCCGCTGGTTCGAATCCCCGAGCCGACTAGGTGCAAAGATATGTCGATCAGCCCTTAAGCAAGGTACTGAAGCCAAATGGCACCCTATTTCCTGTATTGTACACTACTAGGGCCCACACGACTCTGGTCAAAACTAGTGTGCAGTAGGGTGCGATGTGCAGACCCCAAATTACCAGCGCTACTTGATTCCCGGCCCTGATGTACCGTCGCAAAAAAACAACAACAAAGAAGAAAACCGTTGTTCCCGAGTGGTGATGTTTTTTATTGATCAGTCTGGAATGGGCTCAATTGATCACGTGCTGTCTGTATCACTTTCCCAAATGGGACCATATTCCCTATATTAAAGTAGGGCTCTGGTCAAAAGCAGTGCACTAGATAGGTAACGGGGTGCCATTTGGGACCGTTCATTACATTAATCTAGAGCACTCCGTGTTAGCTTCTTCCAGATAGGTACAAAAAAAATGTGTTGAACAAATTCATTGATCTCATTCTCAGGTGAATAAAAGGTTTAGGTAAAACCTTTCTTTAGATTCCAGTTGTTTATATGTGGTGCCTGACAATACAATAACGTCACCAATGGGTATAATACTGTACATCGTTTCACAAACCCCTGACCGTGTCCCAAATGCGCCCCATTCCTCATGGGGCACTGGTCAAAACTAGTGCACTAGATGGGTAATATAGGGTGCCATGTAGGACACAAACTCTGTGTTGGTTTGAAATCTACAAATACTGATGAGGCTTGATGATGAGGAGTAGCTTGGGAGAATAATTTACCTAAATAACACCAGTAAAATCAATGCCTCTACCGCCACAGGATTCAACACGTTACATTTGGTTATGCCGGCATCTTGCCATTTGACAGGAAATGTCACCTCTTCAGAAACCAGTATCCATTGTCCCTGACAATCCTCAGCATTGAAATATACACAGCGTACAAAACATTAGGAACACCTGCTCTTTCCATGACATAGACTGACCAGGTGAATCCAGGTGAAAGCTATGAGCCCTTACTGATGTCACTTGTTTCATCCACTTCAATCTGTGTAGATGAAGGGTAGGAGACAGGTTAAAGAAGGATTTTTAAGCATTGAGACATGGAATGTGTATGTGTGCCATTCAGAGGGTGAATGGGCAAGACAAAATATTTAATTGCCTTTGAACAGGGTGTGGTAGTAGGTGCCAGGCGCACCGGTTTGTGTCAAGAACTGCAACGCTGCTGGGTTTTTCACGATCAACTGTTTCCCATGTGTATCAAGAATGGTCCTCCACCCAAAGGACATCCAGCCAACTTGACACAGCTGTGGGAAGCATTGGAATCAACATGGGCCAGCATCCCTGTGGAACTCTTTCAACACCTTGTAGAGTCCATGCCCCGATGAACTGAGGCTGTTCTGAGGACAAAAGGGTGGTGCAACTCAATATTAGAAAGGTATTCCTAATGTCTTGTACACTGTGTAGAGACCTAGGGCTGTATGTGTCAAGCATCTCAGAGTGCTGATCTGGGATCAGTTTAGCCTTTTAGATCATAATGAATAACATCACATGGACAGGAGAAACCTGGTCCTAGATCAGCACTCCTACTCTGAGACGACTGATACCTCGAGTTGCGTTCAACAAGGCTCTTGTTTGCAGTGAACAGGTTACTACCTTCCCAGACTGTTAGCTAACTACCTTCCCAGACTGTTAGCTAACTACCTTCCCAGACTGTTAGCTAACTACCTTCCCAGACTGTTAGCTAACTACCTTCCCAGACTGTTAGCTAACTACCTTCCCAGACTGTTAGCCAACTACCTTCCCAGACTGTTAGCCAACTACCTTCCCAGACTGTTAGCTAACTACCTTCCCAGACTGTTAGCTAACTACCTTCCCAGACTGTTAGCTAACTACCTTCCCAGACTGTTAGCTAACTACCTTCCCAGACTGTTAGCTAACTACCTTCCCAGACTGTTAGCTAACTACCTTCCCAGACTGTTAGCTAACTACCTTCCCAGACTGTTAGCTAACTACCTTCCCAGACTGTTAGCTAACGTTAGCTGTGTCCCCAGGGACATCCACAGGGGTCCCCACAGGCCCTCTTCCTAGCCCAGAGCGTGCGGAGCTCCTCGGGGGAGTGTTGTGGGGACGACAGCATGTCCTGGTAGCACTCCTTCTCACACAGCCAGCCTGCGTCCTGGGGAAAGGACAACCACAAACTTCAGACGACCTTCAGACAACAGTCAGACAACTAGGGTTAGGTTTATGAAGAAGGTCTATCAATGCTATCTGGCATTAGTGTTAACAACCAAGGTGATTGACATGAATAACATGAGCTGGTTGGTTAGGGTGGCTGTTTTCAGGCAGGCTACCATACTATGTTCTTTACCTGGTATTTCTACTATAGTAGTGTCATCTTGTTCTTTACCTGGTATTTCTACTATAGTAGTGTTATCTTGTTCTTTACCTGGTATTTCTACTATAGTAGTGTTATCTTGTTCTTTACCTGGTATTTCTACTATAGTAGTGTTATCTTGTTCTTTACCTGGTATTTCTACTATAGTAGTGTTATCTTGTTCTTTACCTGGTATTTCTACTATAGTAGTGTTATCTTGTTCTTTACCTGGTATTTCTACTATAGTAGTGTTATCTTGTTCTTTACCTGGTATTTCTACTATAGTAGTGTTATCTTGTTCTTTACCTGGTATTTCTGTGGTCCAACTGCAGCCATCCAGATCCCCATGCTCACATCTTCCCCCTGAAACAACACGTAGCACATTATAAATGTGGCTCCAATGGTGCCTGTTGTTTGGGCATCATTTCTTATCTGGTGTTTGGTGCCATGTGGTCCGGTACCTGGTAGGCCTTGAGTTGCTCTGCGTTGCTAGCCAGCCATTGGACGAGGTCCCTGGAGGCCACGTAACCCGAGCCGCAGGCGAAGGCCGGGTAGGCTGGACTGGCGTACTCTAGCTCCTGCCACTTCCCAATGCGATCCACCGCCCAGCTCTGACGGAAACTGGGAAAGGAAGAACATCAGACAGACAGACAGACAGACAGACAGACAGACAGACAGACAGACAGACAGACAGACAGACAGACATACACACTTCCCAATGCGGTCCAACATCTGCATCAGATCTTACTCAGCAAAACTACCTCCATGTTCCCAGAATGACTAGGCTGGAATATGAATTTATCTAACTAGGAGCTGCTCAGGAGAATTGTCCAGGCTGCAGGCGGTATTCCTCTGGTTTAAATATTAACCCAGCTAGTACAGGACGGACCAGGGGAGAGCTGATCTCGGATCAGATATCCCCTGTACATAGAAACTTCAACCATCAGCTACTACAGGACGGACCAGGGGAGAGCTGATCTCGGATCAGATATCCCCTGTACATAGAAACTTCAACCATCAGCTACTACAGGACGGACCAGGGGAGAGCTGATCTCGGATCAGATATCCCCTGTACATAGAAACTTCAACCATCAGCTACTACAGGACGGACCAGGGGAGAGCTGATCTCGGATCAGATATCCCCTGTACATAGAAACTTGAAAGGATCCTTGCTCAGCACTACTACTCTGATAGGCTTTGTGAACACGGGCTCAACATATCCAGACAGACACTCTGTCTACCATACTGTCTCTGCACAGTACTCACTTCCCCCACCAGAAGTTGCGTCTCTTCAGGTCCTTTTGGTCGATCTTCATTAAAACCTTGTCGACGTCAATATAACAATCATCATCAGTCTTCAGCAGCAGATCAAACGCAGCGTTTCCCACCGACCTATAAGACAGCAGGGAGTTATCAACCCACCTATCAGACAACAGAGAATTAATTATCAACCCACCTATCAGACAACAGAGAATTAATTATCAACCCACCTGTCAGACAACAGAGAATTAATTATCAACCCGCCTGTCAGACAACAGGGAAGTATCAACCCGCCTGTCAGACAACAGGGAAGTATCAACCCACCTGTCAGACAACAGGGAAGTATCAACCCACCTGTCAGACAACAGGGAAGTATCAACCCGCCTGTCAGACAACAGGGAAGTATCAACCCACCTGTCAGACAACAGGGAAGTATCAACCCGCCTGTCAGACAACAGGGAAGTATCAACCCGCCTGTCAGACAACAGGGAAGTATCAACCCACCTGTCAGACAACAGGGAAGTATCAACCCACCTGTCAGACAACAGGGAAGTAACCACCTGTCAGACAACAGGGAAGTATCAACCCGCCTGTCAGACAACAGGGAAGTATCAACCCGCCTGTCAGACAACAGGGAAGTATCACCCCGCCTGTCAGACAACAGGGAAGTATCAACCCACCTGTCAGACAACAGGGAAGTATCAACCTTAATTAAAACACAATTCTGAGGGTCCACAGTTGGCCAGAGTAGCCTTCTCCTATTGGGCTCTTGTCGAAAGTAGCGAAGGGAATAGGGTGTAATTTGGGACGCAGTCTAGATTTACTATCTAATACCAGTGAGAGTACAGAGAAGGGTGGGGTGTTTTCTAATAAACAAATACCAAAACCAAATTAATTCCAGAAGTAAAGCTGCCTAGCTCTGCTATCTAATGATGAGACACCATAGTCATTTAGTGAAGCAGAATGCAAGATTTCTAATCAGGCATACCTGACAGCATCAGGCTGGTGACAGTAGTTTGGTATGTTTCATTTCTATTTGATGATTTCCAGATTTGCCATTTATGGTCACTGAGTAGCAGAGCCACTAAAGAGTTTTTTACACAAAGTCCCGTTTAATTCGTATTCATTTAAGTTCATAATTTATTCCTTCAGCTACCTACATTAGTGGAGTATAGGGCCTCAATGGTGCATCTCCAGCGGACTCTGTTTCGTATGAATAATTTACACAAAGACATGTTTCCTTTATGGGGCGGCAAGTAGCTTAGTGGTTAAGAGCGTTGTGCCAGTAACCGAAAGGTCGCTGGTTCTAATCCCAGAGCTGACTAGTTGAAAAATCTGTCGATGTGCCCTTGAGCAAGGCACTTAACCCTAATTGCTCCTGTAAGTCGCTCTGGATAAGAGCGTCTGGTAAATGACAAAAATGTAAATGAAGGCTTTTACATCAATTGAGAAATTGAGAAACTGTCTTCCTGAGATGGTCGATCATAAAAATAAAAATAAAACGTTACCAAGTTCATGCAAATATTTTTGGAAGAGAAAATCGTCCTTGGTGTGCAAGAGGCTTAAGAACAGACATACAAGTAGCCCTGAGCAACCCTGAGCAACCCTGAGCAACCCTGAGCAGCCCTGAGCAACCCTGAGCAGCCCTGAGCAACCCTGAGCAGCCCTGAGCAACCCTGAGCAACCCTGAGCAACCCTGAGCAGCCCTGAGCAACCCTGAGCAACCCTGAGCAGCCCTGAGCAACCCTGAGCAACCCTGAGCAGCCCTGAGCAACCCTGAGCAACCATGAGCAGCCCTGAGCAACCCTGAGCAACCCTGAGCAGCCCTGAGCAACCCTGAGCAGCAGAGCCAAACTATAAGAGCTGTGTCCATTTATACCTTACCGGTGTAGCATACCAAAAACAACGCTAACAGACAGAAACCGCAGTGTAGCTGCGAGGTTAGACTAGTCACACTGGTCTTACCACTTGTAGAACTGCAGTAGTTTAGAAGGAACGTTCCTGTACGTGTCCACTATATCCACAAACACTATGTCTCCATATCGCAGACCCTCCTGCTTCCAAAGACCATCCTCCATCTGCAGTCTGGTGCCATGGGTCTGCATCGCTCCTCTGTGGCCATGCAACACCTTCCACAGGGAGGCCATGTCTACGGGGAGGAGGAGGGAGAGGAGGAGGGAGAGGAGGAGGGAGGAGAGGAGGAGGAGTGAGGGTGGGGAGATGAGTTGGGATGTAGGATTGTTTTCTTTTCTGTCTTCTTTTTCTCGGTTCTGTATTTCTTTCTGTTTCTGGGTCGTTTCGGTTCTGATTTTTGTGGCAGTCTTGTGATAGATCCATCAGATAACATACGTGATTAGAGAATAAAAATAGTGACAGGGTAAAGAACATATAAATAGACCACTTAGAAGCAGCAGGAATCAGATCCTCCACCAGCTGGGTGATAAAGGGAAGGGATACGTCCCAAATGGCACCCCTTTTCCCCATTTTGGGGCAACTACTTTAGAAAAGAATGGCACCCTATTCCCTATATGGGGACTACTTTGACCCGGGCCCTAGCACCTCATTTAAAAAACAAAGACCATGGACAAACCCCCTCTCATATAAACACAAAAACTATGGACAGACCCCTCTCTCATATATAAACAAAGACCCTTGACAGGACCATCTCTATTACAACACAAAACTATGGACAGGCCACCTCATATATAACACAAAAACTTGGACAGGACCATCTTCTATTTAACCAAAGACCATGGGGCAGGACCTCTCTCATATATAACACAAAAATATGGAAAGGACCCCTCATAACAACACAAAAAACTATGGACAGGGCCCTCTCTCATATATAACCAAAAAACATGGACAGGACCCTCTCTCATATATAAAAAACCAAAACCTGGACAGGACCATCTCTCATATATAAAACAAAGATATGGACAGGACCATTTATATTCAAAACAAGACTATGGCAGGGCCATCCTCATTATAACACAAACTATGGCAGGACCATCTCTCTTATAACACAAGACCGACAGGACCATCTCTATATATAACCCAAAACTAATGGACAGACCATCTCTCAAAAAACACAAAGACTATGGAAGACCCTCTCCATATAACACAAAGACTATGGGGCAGGGCCACTCTCATTAAAAACACAAAAATATGGGCAGGGCCCTTTCATTTACAAAAACAAAGACCATGGGCGGACCTCTCTATATTAACACAAAACTAGGGGCAGGCCATCTCCATATACAACACAAAGCTATGGAAGGACCATCTTTCCTTTCAAACAAAAACCATGGACAGGACCCTCTCAAATAAACAAAAAACTAGGGGCAGGACCATCTCCATATTAAAACAAAGACTAGGGGCCCTCTCTCATATACAAACAAAGCCATGGACGGACCTCTCTCTTTATAACACAAAGGGCCCTTTTCCATCTCTCATATATAACACAAAAATTGGACCATCTCTCATATACACAAAAACCCTGGGCAGGACCCTCCTCATATTAACACAAAGACTATGGACCTCTCTTAATAAAACAAAGACCAGGACAGGGCCATCCTCTTTTCAAACAAAGACCCTGACAGGACCAAACCTCATATCACACAAAGACCATGGACAGGGCCATCTTCCCAAAAAAACCAAAAACCATGGACAGGACCTCTCTAATATAACACAAAGACATGGGCAGGGCCTCTCTCTATAAAACAAAAACCCCTGACAGGACCATCTCTCATATACAACAAAAGACCCTGGGCAGGACCATCTCTCAATTAACACAAGACCATGGACAGGACCATTCTAAATTTTCAAAACAAAAAACTAGGACAGGGCCATCTCCCATATATAAAACCAAAGACTATGGACAGTACCCCTCTCTATATAAACAAAGACTATGGGCCTCTCTCATATTAACACAAGACCATGGACAGGACCCTCTCTTATTAAAAAAAGACCATGGGCCATCCTTTTATATAAACAAAGACTATGGCCATTCTCTATAAACACAAAGACCTGGACAGGACCATCTCTCATATACAAAAACCCAAAACCCTGGACAGGGCCATTCTCATTATAACACAAAGACCCTGGCCCTTCTCAAAAATAACCAAAGACCAGGCAGGACCCTCTCTCTTATATAACACAAAGACCATGGGCCATCTCTCATATTTAAAACCAAGACCATGGGCAGGCCATCTTCTTATATAAAACAAAAACCCTGGACCTTCTAATACCACAAAAACCATGGGCAGGACCATTTCCCCATATATAACACAAAGACCTGGGCAGGACCCTCTCTAATAAACCCCAAAAACTATGGACAGGACCATTTTCCCTATAAACACAAGCCATGGACCATCTCCAAAACAACACAAAGACCATGACAGGACCATCTCTCATTTAAAAAACAAAGACCATGGACAGGACTATCTCTCATAAACACAAAAACTATGACAGGACCATCTTCTTTTCAACACAAAACTATGGAAGGACCAATCTTATATATAACACAAAAATATGGACAGGACCATCTCTCATATATAGCACAAGACTATGGACAGGACCATCTCTCATATATAACACAAAGACCATGGACAGGACCATCTCTCATATACAACACAAAGACCATGGACAGGACCATCTCTCATATATAACACAAAGACCATGGACCATCTCTCATATATAACACAAAGACCATGGACAGGACCATCTCTCTTATATAACACAAAGACCATGGAACCATCTCTCATATACAACACAAAGACCATGGACAGGACCATCTTCATATATAACACAAAGACTATGGACAGGACCATCTTCATATATAACACAAGACCATGGCCAGGACCATCTCTCATATACAAACACAAAGACCATGGACAGGACCATCTCTCATATATAACACAAAGACCATGGACAGGACTATCTCTCATATACAACACAAAGACTATGGACAGGACCATCTCTCATTTACAACACAAGACTATGGACAGGACCATCTCTCATATACAACACAAAGAAATGGACAGGGACCATCTCTCATATATAGCACAAAGAAATTGGGCAGGACCATCTCTCTATATAACACAAAAACCGGAAAAGGGCCATTTCTTAATAAAAAAAAGACCCGGACTGACTTGGATGGTATATTTTTTGGGTTTTGAAGTCAATGCCGGGACTGGACTCACCATAATTTGAATGTGAACCCTCCCCAACCCTGGGAAGCCCCGAGCACTCCTGTGAGGCAACGTCCCCTCACCAACGGGAAACATCACCCCACAGGAGAGATTGGAGACATCAGGAGGAGAGATTGGGGAGACCACAGGAGAGAGTTTTGGGAGAACCAGGAATAGATTGGAGACAAGAGATAGATTGGGGAAAACCCACAGGAGAGAATGGGAAAAACACAGGAGAAGTTTGGGAGACACACGGGAGAGAGTTGGAGACACACAGTAAAAAAGGGAGATTGGGAACACACAGGAGAGAGATTGGGAGACACACAGGAGAAGTTTGGGAGACAACACGGGAAGAGATGGGAGACACAGGAAGAGATTGGGAGACACACAGGAGAGAGATTGGGAGACACACAGGAGAGAGATTGGGAGACACACAGGAGAGAGATTGGGAGACACACAGGAGAAAGGAGATTGGGAGACACACAGGAGAGAGATTGGGAGACACACAGGAGAGAGATTGGGAGACACACAGTAGAAAGGAGATTGGAGGCAATACATTTCTGTCACATGAAAATTTGCAGGAGATTTAACTGTGGAATATTGCTAGATTTCGCAATTGTCATATTGTAAGACTATTGAACAAACACAAAGTGTAGCATATCTGTGAAAAAGAATGGGAAGCCATTAGGTACAGATGAGAACTTGAGTACTCCTCCCCCGTTGTTCAGCTTCTCCCGGGATGTGTTGACCGTAGTCAGACCAGCTAAATCAGGACTCTCCCAGACCAGAGTCCCCTCAAAGCCCTGGACAGGAGAGAGGGACAGTAGTCCAGTCAGACCATTCACCATTAGTATTATTCTACCCTTCTCTGTTTAGAGACTTTCCCATAACATGACATGACCTAGCCCTCACCTTTGGCAGAATGAACCAGTCCACTGGTTTGTACCACACACCGTTCAGACGGGTTCCCCAGGACTGACCGGGCCTGAGGGGGCTTGTCACCCACCGCCTCCTTGAGACACACAGATGGAGGAGGTGTGAGGAATCAAAAAATACTCTGGAGAATCACCAATTCTGTATCCGGGGTACTTTCTAGTCTCCTGTTCGATTCTACTGGTCTACTACTGGTCTACTACTGTACTACTGTTCTACTACTGTTCTACTACTGTTCTACTGTTCTACTACTGTTCTACTACTGGTCTACTACTTGGGCCTAACTACTGGTCTACTACTGGTCTACTCTACTACTGTTCGACTGTTTCTACTACTGGTCTACTAACTGGTACTACTGTTCTACTCTACTGGTCTACTGTTCTACTACTGGTCTGACTGTTCTACTACTGGGTCTGACTACTGTTCTACTACACTCGGCCTAAGGTTCTACCTTACTGGTCTACTGGGTCATACTGTTCTACTAACTGGTCTACTACTGTTCGTACTACCTGGTCTACTGTTCTACTACTGGTCTAAATGTTCTACTACTGTTTACTACTTTTCTACTGGTTTTTACTACTGGTCTACTACTGGTCTACTTTTTCTACTACTGGTTACGGTCAAACTGTTTACGCTGGTCTACACTGGGTCACTTTACTTTACATTTAGTTTTTAGCAGACGCTCTTACCCAACGACTTACAGGAGCATTGGGTTAGTGCCCTTGCTCAAGGGCACATCGACAATTTTCACCTAGTCGGCTCGGATTAACCAGCGACCTTTCGGTTCTGGCACTACGTCTTAACCACTAAGTACTGCGCCCAGTAGCTTACTACTGGCCCTATATGGTCTATGTTTACTACTGGTCTACTACTGTTCTACTACTGGTCTAACTGGTCTACTGTTCTACTACTGGTCTATACTGTCTACTGTTCTACTACTGTTCTACTACGGGTCCTACTGTTCTACTAATGGTCTACTGTTCTACAAACTGGTTAGGCTACTGTTCTAAAACTGGTCTACTACTGGTCTACTGTTTACACTGTTTTTACTATGTTCTACTAATGGTCTAACTATGGTTTTACTGTTCTCTACTGTTCTACTACTGTGACTGTTCTACTGTTCTACTTTTAACTGGTCAAACTGTTCACTGGTTACGGTCTAAGGGTTCTACTACTTTCTACTACTGTTCTAAACTGGTTACTACTGGTCTACTTGTCTACTCCCTGGCAAACTGTTCTACTACGGGTCTAATCGGGTCTATGTTCATACTGTTCTACAAACTGGTCTACACTGGTCTACTTCTACTGGTTTTAAAACTGGTCTACTGTTCTACTACTGGTCTACTACTGTTTCTACGGTCTACTGTTCTACTACTGGTTACTGGTCTACTGTTCTACTACTGGTCTACTACGGGTCTACTTTCTACTACTGTTCTCTACTGTTACTAGTTCTATACTGGTCTACTGTTCTACTACGGTCTACTGGTCTACTGTTCTACAAACGGGTCTACTACTGGTCTATTGTTCTACTACGGTCTATACTGTCTACTACTTTAATACTGGTTACTACTGGTCTACACTTTTTCTACTGTTTAACTACTACTGGTCTACTGTTTCTACAAAGGGGGTTTAAACTGTTCTACATGTTCTATTTACTGGTCTACGTTTTATACTGGTTATTTCTACTACTGTCTCTACTGTTCTATTTTACTACTGGTCTACTTTTTCTTACTGGTCTACTGTTCTTTTCTACTACTGGTCTACATGTTCTACTACTGGTCTACTGTTCTACTATGGTCTACTGTTTATGTTCTACTGTTCTACTACTGGTCTTACTGTTCTACTACTGGTCTACTATGTTCTACTACTGGTAATGTTCTCCTACGGGCCCTTGTTCCTACTGGTCTACTGTTCTACTACGGTCTACTGTTCTACATGTTTATACTGTTCTACTATGGTCTACTGTTCTACTATGGTTACTGTTCTACTACTGTTCACTGTCTTATGTTCTAACTACTGGTCTACTGTTCTATTTACTGTTCTAATGTTACTACTGTTCTACAAACTGGTCTACTGTTCTACTATGTTCTACTACGGTCTACTACTGGTCTATGTTTTCAAACTGGTCTACGTTCTACTACTGGTCTCTGTTCTACTACTGTTCTACGGGTCTACTGTTCTACGGTCAAACTGTTCTACTACGGGTCTACTACTGTCTACACTGTTCTATATGGTCAAACTGTTCTACTAATGTTCTACTATGGTATACTACTGTTCTACTGTTCTACTCCCTGGTTCTACTATGTCTACTACTGGTTTCTACTGTTCTACTACTGGTCTAATGTTCTACTATGGTCTCCCTTGTTCTACGGTCTACTACTGGTCTACTTTTCTACTACGTTCTACTACTGTTCTACTACTGGTCTACTGTTCTACTATGGTCTAAGTTCTACTACTGTTCTACTACTGGTCTACTGTTTACTACTGGTCTACTTTTTAAACTACTGGTCTACTGTTCTACTACTGTTCTACTACTGGTTCTAGTTCTACTACTATCTATGTTCTACACTGGTCTACTACGTTCAACTGTTCTACTACTGGTCTACTGTTCTACTAATGGTCTACTACTGTTCTACTACTGTTCACTACTGTTCTACTACTGGTCTACTTTTCTACTACTGGTCTACTGTTCTAAACTTGGCAAATACTGTTCTATATTTGGTCTACTGTTCTACTACTGGTCTACTACTGTTCTACTACTGGTCTACTGTTCTACTACTGGTCTACTACTGGTCTACGTTTCTACTACTGGTCTACTGTTTCTACTACGGTCTACTACTGGTCTACTGTTCTACTCACTGGTCTACTGTTCTACTACTGTTTCACTACTGTTCTACTACTGGTCAAACTACTGGTCTACTTTTTCTATACGGTCTACTGGTCTACTGTTCTACTACTGGTCTACTACTGGTCTACTGTTCTACTACTGGTCTACTACTGGTCTACTGTTCTACTGGTCTACTACTGGTCTACTGTTCTACTACTGGTCTACTACTGTTCTACTACTGGTCTACTGTTCTACTACTGGTCTACTGGTCTACTGTTCTACTACTGGTCTACTACTGGTCTACTGTTCTACTACTGTTCTACTACTGGTCTACTACTGTTCTACTACTGGTCTACTGTTCTACTACTGGTCTACTGGTCTACTGTTCTACTACTGGTCTACTACTGGTCTAACTGTTCTACTACTGTTCTACTACTGGTCTACTACTGTTCTACTACTGGTCTACTACTGGTCTACTACTGTTCTACTGTTCTACTACTGGTCTACTGTTCTACTACTGGTCTACTGTTCTACTACTGGTCTACTGTTCTACTACTGGTCTACTGTTCTACTACTGGTCTACTGTTCTACTACTGTTCTACTACTGGTCTACTGTTCTACTACTGGTCTACTGTTCTACTACTGGTCTACTGTTCTACTACTGGTCTACTGTTCTACTACTGGTCTACTACTGTTCTACTACTGGTCTACTGTTCTACTACTGGTCTACTGTTCTACTACTGGTCTACGTTCTACTACTGTTCTACTACTGGTCTACTGTTCTACTACTGGTCTACTACTGTTCTACTACTGGTCTACTACTGTTCTACTACGGGGTTCTCTACTGGTTTCTACTACTGGTCTACTACTGGTTACTACTGTTCTACGTTCTACTGGTCTACTACTGGTCTTACTGTTCTACTACTGGTCTACTACGTTCTACTACTGGTCTACTGTTCTACTACTGGTCTACTGTTCTATAATGGTCTATTTGTTCTACTCTGGTCTACTATGTTCAAACTTTTTCTAACTACTGGTCTACTGTTCTACTACGGGTCTACTACTGTTCTACTACTGGTCTACTGTTCTACTACTGGTTACTACGGTCTACGGTTCAAACTACGTCTACTACTGTTCTACACTGGTCTACGTTCTACTACGGGGCTACGTTCTACACTGGTCTACTGTTCACTACTGGTCTACTGTTCTTACTGTTCTACTGTTCTCCTACTGGTTACTATGTTCAAATACTGGTCTACGGTTCTACTACTGGTCTATACTGTTCTACTATGTTTACTACTGGTCAAACTACTGGTCTACTGTTCTACTACGGTCTACTACTGTTCTACTAATGTTCTACTTTTTACTATGGTCTTACATTTTCTACTACTGTTCTACTGTTCTACTACTGTTCACTTTTCCCTACTGTTCTACTTTTCTACTACTGTTCTATGGTCTATGTTCTACTACTGGTCTACTATGTTCTACTACTGTTCTATTGTTTCTACTATGTTCTACCTGTTCATACTGGTCTACTGTTCTATGTTTACACTGTTTTTACTACTGGTCTACTGTTCTATACTGGTCTACTGTTCTACTACTGTTCTACTACTGGTCTACTGTTCTACTACTGGTCTACTGTTTCTAAATGTTCTACTACTGTTCTACTGTTCTACTACTGGTCACTGTTCTACTAACTGCGTTCTACTGTTATGTTTCTACTGTTACTGGTCTACTGTTTCTACTGTTCTACTACTGTTCTACTGTTCTACTACTGTTCTACTACTTGTCTACTACTGTCTACTACTGGTCTACTGTTCTACTACTGTTCTACTGTTCTACTACTGTTCTACTGTTCTACTACTGTTCTACTACTGTTCTACTACTGTTCTACTACTGGTCTACTGTTCTACTACTGTTCTAACTGTTCTACTACTGTTCTACTGTTCTACTACTGTTCTACTACTGGTCTACTGTTCTACTACTGTTCTACTACTGTTCTACTACTGTTCTACTACTGGTCTACTGTTCTACTACTGGTCTACTACTGTTCTACTACTGGTCTACTGTTCTACTACTGGTCTACTGTTCTACTACTGGTCTACTGTTCTACTACTGTTCTACTACTGTACACAAAAAATATCCTCTGCTTGATATTATCCAATTTCCCTAAGCTCAAGCCTATACATTCCTACCACCAGCGGGCTAGCAGGAGTTTGACATTCAAGAAGTGATTTGCATCTCTGGCGAA